TTTTAAAAAAGACACCAAAACAAAGTAATACATTCAAGAAGATTTAGATCAAACAGAAACAACAAAAGCCTAGATACTGAGATTACTAGAAAAAACATGTTGAATTTAAAACAGATGCTTTTTTTTATCTTTTACAAAGAATACAAAATGGTAAAAAAAAAAAAAATAGCAATTGTTGCATTGCATAATGTTATCTTCAAATTAGTTTAGAATACAGATACAAACATGCAAAATTGGTTTTTAAAAAGTTACAAGAAATTAAAAAGGAAAACAAATTTAAGCATTAACTGCTCCTTTCAGTAGACCAGCAGAAATCAGTAGTGCAATTATCCAAGCTACCCTGCATATAGACAAATATATCTTCTTTTCCTTCTTTCTTTTATCCTTTTCCTCATCCCAGTTTTTCCTCATTGAACAGATTCTTTCCCATTCGCAGTATCTATTGTACCCTTCAGATTTTATTTACTCTCAATTTCTCACACCAGTGAGACAACACATGCACATGCAGGTCTGATTTATTTCACTTAACCTGTATGGCCCGTGGTTGCATCCATTTACCTATAAAAGCCTCGAGTTTATCCTTTTTTATAGCTAAGTAATACTCCCTTGTGTAAAAATATCACCTATTTTTTTTTATCCATTCCTCAGCTGATTGGCATTTGGGTGGTTTCCAAGAGCCAACTATGGCTAGTGGTGCTGCTATAATCATGGGTGCACATAAATCAAAAACAGTAAAATGCTCTTAAAAGGACATATAGGCAGCAAAATGGAGAGAAGTCGTTAAGTTGGCGTGAAGACCAGCCAAAGAAAGTACCTGATACAGCTGCTTGGAAATTTTTTTCTTGGAGATCTGACAATATGATAGGTTTATCTTAAAGCAGGAAATAGAAAAGCCGAGTGAGGGGGGCGCTTTCTGAGAAGCTATGGGAGAGCATTCTATGTCCCGGATGCAGAAGGCTTGAGCTGCTCCTAGGATCGTCTCAACAGCACAGTGTAAGTTGGTGCTCAACACAGAATCTTCTTCCCCCAAAGTGGCAAAACTGTGGATTGGTCTTTTGAGTTTAGAATAAAAATCAGCGTTCTCAACAGACACTGAAAGTCTTAGTGAGAGAAGTTTATCTAAACAGAAGTCCAGTTGGAGAATATCCACGAGAACTGACCGGTGCATTAAGCACTAAACTAGTAACAAATAATATAAATATTTAAGAAGAGGATTGGAGATATACATGTGACTGGTAGCATAAGGAATGACTTAGAAGCAGTGAATGCAGGTATGGCAACAGTGTTGAGCACTTAGCACGTGCGGGCTGTTGTACTTTGTAGGCCTCGTCCTGTAACCCTCTGCCATGGTAAATGTCCCTGTTATACAGATGAGTAGGAGACTTGATTTCTACACCTAAAAGCACTAGTTACAAGTGTCTAGACAGGTTTTATGTTCCAGCAGCTGGTACCAAAGCCCATACCTTAATCACTGCATTCCATGTAGTGCTTTTCACAAACACAGAGAAAAGTGTAAAGCAAATAGCATTGTAAAAATCCACCCAGGTTGGGTTAAGTGGGCATTTGACAACATGGCTTCTCTGTTGGCATGTTTAATGATGATGTTAACAGACATCCTTGCAGTTTATTTATTTATTTATTTGTATTTTAGTAAAGGTCTACAGGGTCTCACTAGGTAGATGGGACTCATAGTGATCCACCTGTGTTCAGTCTCCTAAAGAGCTGGGAT